GTGCGCTCACCAGCAGGTCCAGAATCCAGGGTGTGAGGGGTTCGAAGCCAGGGAACCGAATCCTCAGGTCTTTCAGCAGCCGGATTAAAACCTTCACCCTGGAGAAGATGGCAGGAGGGTTTGTAACGCATCTTGCGCCTTCCTGCTGCAGGAACGGGTCACCTCCCTCTGCCCCCTGAGATTATTTCGATCTCAGCACTGCGGTTCCTGTTTGAAGCCAAACTCACGTGGACTGCGAAGCATTCTCCTCGAACCAGCGAGCGTGTCTGATGGCAGCCAGGGCGCTTTGCAGCACTTTGATGTCCACTGAAACAAGCAGCAGAAACGCCCCTTTTTTCAACCGAAAATAAACCCCAAGGTTCACGTGCGGGGCAGAGCAAGCCAAGCTCTTACGGTGTAGTTCGGGGTCCAGCTTGCGGAGATTGGGCGGCACCGTGGTGATAAGGATCTTCACCGTCGCATCGGCCGAGCTGATCTCAAAGCCGGTTTCGTTGGTCAGCATGGTCAGGACTGGGGAGGAAGGAGAATAATTCCTCGCGGAGGAGCCGGAAGACCTTACCGGCACCCGGGAAAGACCACGGATCTCAGCAGCGGTGCCATTCCCCTTCGGACAAACCCCAAAGCTCAAGGGGAAACTCTCGCATCAGCCTACGTCCTCCTCAAGCCCGTACGACAGAGGAGAGCGTCCCACCTTCGCTGGGGTCCTGCGCCCTCAGGCTTTCCACGACTTTGTTTCCCAAGGCCGCCACAGCTTCCACTAGGGAGGAGAAGCGGAAGAGGCGGTCAGAGCGGAACCGAGCGCCGCGGTTCGGTCAGCGCCCGCGCAGCCGATACTCACGGGTGGGTAAGATTTTCAGAATCACAACCAGATCGGCCACGTTGTGCCCCGTCGTCATGGTGCCCTTCTTGTAGGAACCCACCTGACGAACCTCCTCAATTTGCTGTTTGAAAGAGCAAAGCAAAAAAAACCAAAAAAAATTAAAATTAGTGAATTTAATGCACGTGCGACATTTCTGGGAGTCACCATGAATCTTTAATCCACTTTGCCCAGGTTTCGTAGCGGGAACACCGGCATCCCTCATGCCGAATCATCTCCCCACATAGGTTTTTCTTCCCCAAGCTCATCACTTTTGGACTCACCACTTCGAATGTTCCCGGTGCTACAATTAAATTGTCGATCACGTTGTTTATTTTGGTCACCAGAGAAAGAATGGAAGCCTGAAAATTAATTGGAGAGAGGTGGCGTTACCAGTTATCCGGTATCTAGAAATAATCTCATCTTTCACAGCACAACGCAGACAGCCCTGATGCGAGATATGTAATAAACAGATAAAAGAAACGTATTTAAAAATCACTGTCGAAGAAACTCCACCTGTATTTCTACCGCAGTGCTTATTTCAGGGAGAAGTAATCACTTTTTAGGCTAGTAATAATTACTCCTGGCTGTGCTCTCTGAAGGCTAGTCTCTCTAATGCTGCGGTAACATCCAGCCAAAGAATTTTAAGGCAATTTTCTGCACAAAACCTGTTCAGCAGCGGTCGGAGCAAGATCCTGGTTTCTCTTCAGCAGGGCTTCACTGAAGGCAGTCTCATCGGCAGCGGGTTTTACACGTGGAAAAGCCATTTCGCACTGAAACGGGATCAGATATCAGACTGCAACGCCCAGAAAAAAACCCAGACTTTGTTTCAACCCACTCATCAACAAAATTTACTCCATTTTTTTTTATTCTCCAGTGTTCATTTCCTTCGCGATTCCCCAGCAACGCCCAGAAAAAAACCCAGACTTTGTTTCAACCCACTCATCAACAAAATTTACTCCATTTTTTTTTTATTCTCCAGCGTTCATTTCCTTCGTGATTCCCCATCGTGCTTTTTGACTTCTTGCTTTTATCATTTCATGTTATTCTAAGGGAGGCAGAGCAGCTGCCTGTCCTGCCCGTGCTCTGACAGTAACAGCAAGTCTTCCAAAACGGCAATTGCAACTACAGGGTGTGGGACAGGGCAGATCTAATTAAGAATGGGTCTATCGAGAGGGTTTTTATTAATTATATCACAGTCCCTTAAGAATAACAGCCTTTGTCTGCAGGTAGCCGGAGCCTTCCGGTTGCTATGAGGGGATTTTATAGCCACGGGGCCTGGAAGGCAAAAGTAAGTGAACTTGTCACGTGTCAGTAAAAGGCAGATGCTCGGCAGGAGGAGGAAATTATTTCCTCCTATAAAAAGGTGCTGCTGTTGGTCCTTGCAGGACCAACACGGGAAAAGAGCCCGGAGAACATCTGACAGCTATCAGGAGTAACCCACGAGGTTTGTGTTACGGAGAGCTGACAGCAGGAAGGGTCTCGGCGTGTGAGGTGCCTTAAAAAGCAGAAAAACTCTCAATCTAGGCATTTGTTTTGTTGTGATTATTACAACTGCATCCTAGTCATCCCGTCTGACACAAGTACTCCGAACAGAGACAGTAAGAAGATCTATTGCGGGTTAGTTACTGAACCGACAGCGCTTTCTGTGAGCTCCTTTACTCTGGCTACGCTAAACGAAGTCAAACCATCAAAGTCAGCACGTGAGGGTTTTGGGGTTGGTTTTTTTTTTAAGATGCATCTTTAAACAAGGAAAAGTCCCGCAGCTGTTGCCTGCAAACAGCTCCGTAGGAGAGGGTTACTCACGACATAGAAATCAAAGGGGATGTGCGGCACAAAGGGCCGGAACCTAAAGGGGGAAAAGAAAAAAACCAAAACTTTATTCTCTGTAGAGATGTCTACCCGCTCGCCGCCGTGTTCGTC